TGGGGAGGAAAGGGTTTATTTAGCTTACAACTCCCAGGTCGCAGTTCATCAGGGAACCCAAGGTAGTAACTCAGGGCAGGAACCTGGAAGCAGGAGCTGGAGCACAGGCCACGGAGGAACACTGCTTACTGGCTTGCTCCCCTGGCCCCTGCTCAGCCTGCTTTCTTATGCAACACAGGCCCACCTGCCCAGGGGTGGCACCACCCACAGTGGGCTGGGCCCTCCCACATCACTCATCAAGAAGATACCCCTCAGACATGGCCACAGGTCAGTCCAATAGAGGCAATTCCCCAACTGAGACTCCCTCAACTCAGGTGTGTCAAGTTGACACTAAAGCTATCCAGCACACCTGGGCTGCGGTCTCTACTGACAGCACTCCCAAGTATCTTTCTCTGTCTCTTGTTTTCCTTTCATCCTCACTCCCCCTTTCAGGTGCTGTTTGTCTTGGCCGGCTAGTACCAGCACAGGTTCAGAGGGATCAAGTACCCCTGGCCTCTGCATAGACACATACATAACTAAAAATAATAATTCTTAGCTGGACGTGGTCACACACACCTTTAGTCCCAGCACTTGGAAGGCAGAGGCAGGTGGATCTCTGTGAGTTCATATTTGTATAGTTTCTCGCTTTAGCCCAGCTGTCCTGGAACTTACAGTACTTTTTTTTTTTTTTTGGTCTTTTTGAGCAGGGTCTCCCTGTAGCCCCAGCTGGCCTGGAGTTCACTTTGTAGACCAGGCTGGCTTCCATCTCACAAAGATCTGTCTACCTCTGCCTCCCAAGTACTAGGATTAAGGTGTGTCCCCACCACACCCAGCGATACCAAATTCTTTTAAGTCAGTAGAAGGGTAAAAGAAGAAAGTAAATGGAGACAGGGTCTCCCTGTAGCCCCAGCTGGCCTGGAACTCACTATGTAGACCAGGCTGGCTTTGAACTCACAGAGATCCACCTGCCTCTGCCTCCCAAGTGCTGGGACTAAAGGCGTGCACCACCACACCCGGCTCCAAAATAATAATTCTTAAAAATAATTCTTAAGGGACTGGAGAAATGGCTCAGTGGTTAAGAACACTGGTTTTTCTTGCAGAAGACCTGGGTTCGAATCCCAGCACCCACATGGCAGCTAACAACTGTCCATAACTCCAGTCCCAGGGAATCTGACAACCTCTTCTGACCTCTGTGGGTATTGCATGACATGGGTGCACTTACCTACATGCAGGCAATAGATGTATACACATAAAATTAAAAAATAATAAAAAAAATAATTCTTAAGAGCATCATCTGCTCTTACAGAGGGCCCAGTTTCCATTCCCAGCACCCACATGGTGGCTAACAACTGTAGCTCCAGTTCCAGTGGATACAGCACCCTCTTCTGACCTCTGCAGGCACTGCATGACACAAGTGCACCTACCTACAAGCAGGCAATACACCGTACACATAAAACAAAAAAAATCACATGGGGGCTAGAAAGATGGTTCAGTGGTTAAGAGCACTGGCTGCTCTTACAGATGACCTGGGTTGGGTTCCCAGCACCCATATGGCAGCTAACAATAGTCCCTAATTCCAGTTCCAGGGGATCCAACACTCTTCTTCTGATCTCCAAGGACAATGCATGACATGGGTGCGTGTGCGTAACATGCAGGCAATGCACTCATATACAAAGAATAAAAAAATAATAAATAAAATATTTTTTAAAATCATGGGCTGAGGGGAATCAGGACACTCAAGAGTCTACCTGGCCTCAGGATTTCCAAAGCTGTGCTCGTCCTGCTGAGCACTCCTTGTTCGTTGGCTTTTTCCTTTGCTTGTTTTTTCCTTTTTTCCTCTAAGGTAAGGGGGAATGTAAGAACGGAAGGGGAATGAACAGAGAACTGACTCTAATGCAATTCAGAGCATTTCTGATGCAGACAGCAGAATGGCAGTTCTATTTACCTCCTTCCGTTGCATAAATTGACTAGCGTGTTTGGCAAATTTGACCGAATTAAAGAGTGAAAGTTTGATCATGCCAAGTATGTTTTGAAGACTTGGGTTCTCAGAAGAAATACATGTACTGTAGCTTGCTTGTGGAGAAGCAAAGTTATTCCGAAGCCTTCCCTTAGAAAGATTAGTACAACCTCTGCAAGGAGCACTATCATGCCCACTTGGGTGATAGATAAATATGGAAAAAATGGAACTAGAGAGATGGCTCAGCAGTTAAAAACACTAGCTGTTCTTTCAGAAGACCCAGGTTTGAATCCCAGCACATGGCAGCTAACAGCTGTATGTAACTGCAGTTCCAGGGGATCCAATGCCCTCCTCTTTCTTCTGAGGGCACTGCACGACATGGGTGTACTTATACACATGTAGGCAATACACTCATACACATAAAATAAAAATAAATATCCTGGTGTGATGGCGCACATCTTTAATCCCAGCATTCAGGAGGGAGAGGCAGGTGGATATTTGCGAGTTCGAGGCTAGCTTGGTCTCCATAGTGAATCCAGGCCAGCTGTGATTACAGGGAGACCCTGTCTCAAGAAGCCTGAAAAACAATACAAAATATAGAAAAAATGAAGTCCTTCGATTCACTCAGAACATTATGGTACCTGTCTTACACTATCCAAATGAAGTGATTATCAAAGTCCATACTGCCAGTGTAAATCCTATAGATGTTAATTTGAGAAGTGGTTATGGAGCAACAGCTTTAAATATGAAGCATAAGGCTGGGCGCGGTGGCGCATGCCTTTAATCCTAGCACTTGGGAGGCAGAGGCAGGGAGATCTCTGAGTTCAAGGCCAGCCTGGTCTACATAGTGAGTTCCAGGACAGCTGGATAAATAAATAAATAAATAAATAAATAAATAAATAAATAAATATGAAGCGTGATCCTTTGTATATGAAAACCAAAGAAGAATTTCCTCTGACTTTGGATTGGGATGTCTCTGGTGTGGTGACGGAGTGTGGGGCTTGATGTCATGTATTTCAAACCGGGAGATTGAGGTCTGGGCTGCAATTCCTCCTTGGAAGCAAGGCGCTCTCTCAGAATTTGTCGTAGTCCATGGGAATGAGGTCTCTCACAAGCCCAAATCACACTCATACTTAAGCCGCCTCTTTGCCACATGTGACTCTCATAGCTTGGTTTGCCATAAACAAGGTCGGTGGCCTAAACGCCAAGAATTGTACAGGAAACTTTTGCAATACAGATAATGAAAGCATGGGGTGCTCATGTGACAGAAGTTTGCTCTCAAGGTGCCAGTGAACTTGTAAGGAAGCTTGGAACAGATGATGTAATTGATTATAAGTTTGGAAGTGTGGAAGGGCAGTTGAAGTCCTTTAAACTGTTTCACTTCATCTTTGATAATGGTGGATCCACTGAGTCATGGGCTCCAAACTTTCTCAAGAATTGGCAGGACCCACCTATGTGACTCTGGTGACTCCTTTCTTTCTGAACATGGATCAACTGGGTATTGCAGATGGCATGTTGCAGACAGGAGTCACTGTGGTTACCAAGGCATTAAAGCATTTCTGGCAAGAAGTCCATTATTGATGGAACTTTTTCATGCCTAGTGGCCCATATCTAGATGAAATTGCCAACTGGTTGATGCAGGAAAAATCCTGCCAGTTATTGAACAAACCTTTCCTTTTCCTGAGGTTCCAGAAGCCTTCCTGAAGGTGGAAAGAGGATGCTTGAGGCAAGACTGTAATTAGTCATTTAAACACTGATGTTCAGTGCTTGCTGGCTCTTTTTGCTAAATACTTGTGACTAAAATGTATAGCCCTAGGCTGGGCGTGGTGGCATACACCTTTAATCCCAGCACTTGGGAGGCAGGGGCAGACAGATCTCTGTGAGTTCAAGGCCAGCCTGGTCTACATAGTGAGTTCCAGGACAGCTGGGGCTACAGGGAGACCCTGTCTCAAAAAGACCAAAAAAACAAAACAAAAAAAATGTCTAGCCCTTACCAAACATTTTTCCAAATCAGTTGTTTGGATCAGTTGCATTATATGGGCAGCTGGTAAGATGACTCAGTGGGTAGAGGTGCCAAGCATGGCAATCCAAGTTCTGTCCCTGGGACCAGCATAAATGTAAAAGGAGAGAACCAACTCCACAAAATTGTCTTCTAACCTCCATGTGTGCCTCCCCTACAATAATAGTAAATAAATAACGATATAAAGGTTAAAAAAAAAGGGCTGTGAATGTAGCATAGTATTAAAAGTGCTTGCCTAGCAGCATGCACAAGGTCATAGATTTATTATTTATTTAATTTATTTATTATGTATGTATGTATGTATGTATTTATTGTCTTTTTGAGACAGGGTCTCCCTATAGCCCCAGCTGGCCTAGAACTCACTTTGTACACCAGGCTGGCCTTGAACTCACAGAGATTAGCCAGCCTCTGCCTCCCAAGTGCTGGGACTAAGGGCATGTGCCACCATGTCCAGAGGCCATACTCTCTCGCACCAAAGAAAGGAGGGGGGCCTGTTTGACTAGCCACTGAAGTATTACAATTAAACTCTGCTGTAAGGTGAGCATGATGGCAAACACCAGTAATCCCAGTACTCAGGTGGCTGAGGCAGCAGGATAACCTCAAGTTCAAGGCCGGCCATGGCTACACTGCAAAACCATGCCTCAAAAAAAACCCAAAACAGGCCAGATGTGGTGGTGCATGCCTTTAAACCCAGCATTCGGGAGACAGAGGCAGAAGCAGGCAGATCTCTGAAATCAAGGCCAGCCTAATCTATACAGTGATTTCCAGGCCAGCTGGGGCTACAAGAAGACCTTGTCTCAAAAACACCAGAAAAAAATTAAGAAACAAAAAAAAAGGTCTGGGCGTGAGGCAGAGGCAGTCAGCTGTGAGTTCCAGGCCAGATGGGGCTACAGGGAGACCACTTAGGTGCCAGATTCCGATTCCAGCCACACCTGGTCCAGTGGAGAAATCTATGTAGTACCCATTCCAGGTGCTGTGGAGGATCACTTTGCCCCTAGTGCTTGCCCAGCTAGCATCCCTTGGAAAGGCTGCTATATGTTTTGGATGAGCAACAGGGCCAGACCCTTGCTGGTTTGGAAGGTAGTCACTTAAGGGGCTCTCTGAGCCTGCCCTCCAGGAGGCAGGGCTCTGCCACAAGGTCAGCAGGGGTGGATAGATCACACAGAACAGGCCAGGGTAGCTGCCCACAGAAGGAGGGTCAGACAGAATCTTTATTGGGGGGTGACTTCCTGACAACGCAGACATCCAGGACAGGTATAGACACTGGGGAACCATCAAATGTCCCCTGAGGCTGATATGCTACACCTCTTATGAGCTCCACTCTTGTCTCATTGAGGCTCAGGCATGTAGGAAGCGGTTAAAGGCATTGTAAGCCGACTCCAGATCGAAGAGCATCTGGCGCACCTGGGAGTCATCCAGCTCATCGGAGGCCGACATGCCGCTCAGGGTCTGCAGCCTAGGGGGCACAGTCACAAGTGTGTGTGAGCAGGAAGACTAATGTCACTATGAGGTTCTACCAGCTCAGAAAGGCCACTTACCATTGGCTGACTGTTTGGCGGCCCTCAAAGTCTGGGGGCAGGTGGCTCATGCGGTGCATGGTCTCCATCAGCTCCCGTAGGTCTGGTTGAATCTGAACACACAGGTGCCTGAGACCCCACTTACCCACCTCTGTCCCCCTCCACCCAGGCCCTGGCTCCCTGCTTAACTCCTGTACCTCGTCCATGGCGCGGATCTCTAGGCGCAGCTTGTCCATGACTGTGATGAAGAGCTGGGGGGAGCATGTGCATGAGGCATCTCCCACTCAGTTGGGGTGTGGAGATTCCTTGCAGCTCATAGGCTAGTCCTAAGGGCCAGGCCCCCACCCAATTTCCTCCCACACTGGGGGGGGGGCTCCTCCCTGCCTGGGGATACTGCAGTGAGGACCTTTTTAGTTGGCCTCTTGAGACTATGGACATTTGGGGTCCAGGCTGTGAGAGCTGTGGGAACATGGTTTTGTACACTCCTACAAAACCTCCCCAGGCCAGGGCCTTGCCAGAGTAGATCCTGTGTCTATTCTCCCTCATAGCCAAGGGGACCCCTCCCAGGGTGTTGCTCAGCTCTGGAAGCCCCAAGACTACACATTCATGACTGACCCAGGCAGGCAGTCCCATCCTCCTAATCCCCACAGGGCCCTCCCAGGAGCTGTGGGGCACACCGAGACCACGTCTGCAATGCAGCGGTTTAGATTGCCCTTGTCATCCTTGATAGTGATGGGCCGGTCCTCCTTGATCCTTTCCATGGCAAGTGGGCAGTCCAGCTGAGGAGAGCAGACATGAGTGCTGGGCATCACAGGGCCTCCAGAATGCCAGGGTCTCATCCCCATATCCCATCCCACCTTTGCTGTGGGGTGGAAGGACTGGCTCACTCACTCGGAACTTTCGGCAAAATTCATCAATGGAGCTTATCTCTGAACCTTGAACCTGTCGAAAGGCAGCTTTGTACTGGACCAGGAGTCTGGAGCAGGCTGCAGTATACCTAGGGAGAGGACCAGCTGCTGAAGCCTGGAACAGTCTGGCCTGGCTCATCTTGCTCTCTCTCAGCCAGTCTAGACACAGGTTCCATGATAGGTTAGGAAAGCTAAAGGCTTCCCACTGGGTCTGTGCATGAAGAGAGCTCTGGACAAGAGCAGGGAGGTATGACCAAAATATAACTGCCACAAGGGAACTGACCTAGCTTGTGAAGGCTGACCTGGAGCTCACCACAAACTAGCTAGCCCAGATGTCCACTCTGCTTGCCCTGGAACAAGGTGCCAGCCCTCCATTACCACCTGGGCAGCTCCTGTTCCAGTGAAGCTGTCTCGTCGGCTTATCATCTTTTTGAATGAAGCACCAGCAGCCATGCTGAGTGTCTGGACTACCCAACAATGTTTTAGACCATGTTGCTCCCAGGCTCCAGCTTACCACCTGAGGCCAGGACCCAGGACTATACCCATTTTCATGCCTTTCCAGGTAATTCTCCACCTCTACAGGATGTCCCTGGCTGAGAAGGACCTGAGGCTGGCAACAAACAGGAGTACCCCCATAGCTTCGGCCACAGACCTCCATCCCTGTTGCCTACTGAGCCCCCAAGCTCCACGGAGGGCAGAAACATGCTTCTGAGAATTGGTGCCCATCAACAACTGATGTCACAGGCTTGCTCACTCATTGGGGGTGACGCAGTCCTTGATGTATGCTTTCTCCAGCGCTTGCATTGTCTTCACCACTGCAAACAGCTCTGCCATGTTGTCATACCTGAGATAAGCTGTCCATCAGGCCACAGACCCAAGGCAGGGAAGCCCAGGCCTCTAGAGCCTAGGGCAGTCAACCACTACTCTGCAGCTAAGGCAGAATTCAGCCCACCTCTCACCCCAACCCTGGCAGATGTTCCTCAGGAACTATCTCCCTAGCCTGACCCCATCTTCTCCCCAACCACAGGCATGGGTGGGTTTGGGGGAGACTACCTGGCCTGCTCTGGAGGCTTGATAAACTCTTAAGTGTGCTAGTGGCTTGGATGCTTGACTTACTTTTCCCGCTCTCGAGCATTCTTGTACAACTTCACCTCCTGTTGGAAAAGTAGGCAGCAAGTCAGCCAGATCACTAGGTTGTACAGTGAAGGCCACATGGTGTTTTTTGCGCCCACTGTTGACCAGGTAGGAATCTGCCACTCACCTCGTACAGCTCCGGCTTGTTCCCAGGAGCTGCAACAGAACAGGCAGAAGCTGTCAGCCACAAGGGAACCTCAGGACAGACTGTAGTACCAGCTCATTTCAGCTGTTTCCCTGGGGACCCCTCCCATGCCTTGTCTCAAAGAGCTCAGAGGGAGCTGCAGGATTGGGCTGCAGGTGCAATTCCCCACCCCCAACAGAGTGACCATACTGTTATAGAACCATGATATAGTACAAATAAAGTCTGTCACATGCTTCACAACCTAGATTGGAGACCCAGAGATGCTCAGGATGCCTGAGGTTCTGGCCATATTGAGGTTCATCATCTCTACTCAGTAGGGTAGTGCTGGGTCCTCAGAATTTCACCACAAACTGCTCTGGCCCTATTCACTCCCCAAGGCCTATGAACATGAAATAGAGGTGGGGATCTTACAGTCCTATCCCAACAGACCCTGTAGCAGGGAAAGTCTGGGCCCAAAACCTCTGCCCAGCTTAGGTCACACTCACCTCCTATGCCAGGAGTGGCTGGGATCCCGTGAAACATCCTGCAGGCCCTGGCAGCTACAGCACAGAGACCTGGGGAGCAGAGCCAGCACCAACTCAAGAGGCCCTTACAGTTCAGTAACTGGGCTCTCCTCAAACAGCAACACAGTGTGCAGTGAGACTGTCAGAGGGAAGCCAGGCGTGGAGAATGAGCGCTGAGAGAGAAGGCACAGGTGCCAGGGAAGCCCAATCTCGAAGCTCGGTGGAGGTAGGGAAGGAAGGACAGCTGTTGAAAACTTGAGGCAACATTTTGGGCATGGAAGGGCACACTGTTGCAATTCCTTTCAAAGGGCATGAACTTGGAAGAACAAGCTGGGTGTCTGGGGCTTCCTGAGCGCGGGGCAGGAGGGAGGGTGAAGTGGGCTTACTCTAATTCTGTGGGAGCTACAGGAGGAATAAAGGCAGGCTAGGGATCAGCAGTTTAGAAATGGCCCTGCCTAGTAGGAAGATTGGTGCCTGTGGTTTGAACGGTTCCATAAGCCGCCTTAGGGTTTGAAATGGGGTGAAAAACAAAAGTTCGCGACAGTAGGCGAACTGAGACAGAGCGACCCGGACGTGGAGCCTGAGCTGAGGTCGCAAGAGCTGCGGCAGCCGTTCGGATTGTGGACCAAGGCAGGCACCAGCCAACTGCAACTCGGCAGCGCAGGGACGCAGGCCGCATTGCCGGAGGCCGGCCTAGCTCGAGGGCTCGTGTGCAGCAGGATCCCGGGGCGGAGGTCCCACCAGCTGCATACCTGGGCGCACTCGGGGTCCCGGAGATGGCGACCGCAGCTCGATAATCTCCAGAGTCGGGAAGCTTGATCGGTAGCTCGGCGCTCGCCCTTCCGCCTACCCCTGCGCACGTCAGAAGCCCAATCAGCCGCCCGGCACTCGGCCTCCTACCTGCCCGTGCTAGCATCGAAATCTATTTGGCCGCTCGGCACTCGCTTTGCTTGCCTGCGCTTGCGCTCCTGAGAGCGTCCCCATGCAGCTGCTGGAGGTTTCACCCGTCCCACCCCTTTTCCAGACAGCCACACACTGGAGATAGCAGCTTTGTTTATTAAGGCTTTGTCGGCAGAGAACCCGACCAGGGTCAGAGGTTCTGAAAGAAGAGCTTGGGGCCTCGGTCCAGTGTACATGTGCCGGAGCCCGGCAGCCGCTGGCACAGGGCATCTCGGTCCTCAGGGCACAGGTGTCTGCTGCACAGCTGCAGCTCCCGCAGCTGCATAAATATCTTGTCCCAGAGGCCAGGACTCAGGGGCCCCTCGATGGAACAGCCTGCAGGGAGGAAGGGCGGGTTTAACTTGCAGACAGTTGGTGCAGGAGCCGTGCTCACGTTGCACCTCGGAGCCTACATTTTGATCGTCCATAAAATAGACTTCTAGGGTTTGCATGTCTGTATACTGTGAGCCCAAGGGTCTCAGGAGGCCACTGAACGATCAGGGCTTGTTCCTCAGGTCAGAGATCCCAGTAGGCTCAGGATATCAGGGAGCTGGATGAGAGGACAGACAGGACCACCAGTGTGTAGGAAGCAGGGGGTAAGCACAGAAAGAACCCAGAGATTTCTCTGTGCTCAGCCTTTATCAGCCAAGGGCACAGCCTGTCACACTCAAGTATCAGCTGGATATGCCAAGTGCTAGAGCAGTCCATCAGGTACACTCCTCAGGTTGGGGCCACCTTGATGTCACAGGTAGGATCTGAGTAGGGAGAAGGTAGGAGGACCCCTTAGTGGAGCTTATAGCACTTTGATCCTGGATTCCATCTTCCTGTTTACAAGAATGAGGAAATATACATGCACAAGAGAGTCCATATATTTTTTTTGGGGGGGGGGGTCTTTCTGAAACAGGGTCTCCCTGTAGCCGTCCGTGGCCTGGAACTCACTATGTAGGCTGGGCTTGAACTTACAGAGATCCATCTGCTTCTGCCTCCCAAGTACTGGGATTAAAGGCCTGCACCACTACACCTGACAATTGTTTCCCCCCCCCCCTTTTTTTTTTTTGAGGTAGAGTTTTACTATGTAGTCCAGGCCATTGTTTGAGGCAGTCCTGCTCCAACCTCCCCAGTGCTGGGTTATAGGCATAAGCCACCACAAGTGGTTCCTTTCTGCCAAATTCCGAGGTACCTGTCAGAGGCAGACAAGCTTCCCCTGCCCCTCTGCTACACGACAAACTGCCTCTCACCATACCAGCCTCATGGAGCCTCACCACCTGGTAGCAATGATCACCTCTTCCTCTGGCAGGTCCCTAGAAAGAAGCCTTGTGGTTAGGTGAGGCATGGCAGGAGTCACTGTTGTTCCCAGCCCTTACCTGACAGGCCAAGGAAACTGAGGCCTTTTGGTCTCTCCTGGAGGGCAGATAGGAGTGCCTCCAGACTAGCATCGCTGACCTCAGGGTTGGCAGACAGGTCCAGGGAGACAAGTGAGGGACAGCAAGGGAGACACCTATGACAACATAAGTAGTGCAGGGATGAGCTTCCAGGGTAGCCTAAGCTGTAGTACTAGAGAAGGCTGCCCCAGACAAACCCTCAGCTCTGGGAACCAGAGGCCAAGCCCAGTAGGCTCTCTGCTCTGGCCTGGCCCAGGCTCTAGAGCTGGCAGCACTACTCAGGGGCAAGAATGCCATAGCCAGCTCTGGGCAACTCCTGACACTCCTCTGAAAGCCACCTGAGGCTCTAGGAGCATGACAAGGGGGGCCATGTGTGGAATACTAAATGAAGAGAAACAGGATATATCATAGAGAAAAGCTCTCAAGAACCAGAAACATGGCAAGAATCTCAAGGAGTTAAGTGCCTGTCAGAGCCAGCACTAAAGACAGTGGAAGCCAGAAAAAGGCTACACCACCTAACCCAGCTCCCCTGGTCCTAAGCTTCCCTCACAAGATGGTGGGAGTGGGGTATTACCTGCTCAGCTCTCTCACAGCCTTATCACTCAGGTGGTTTGCAGAAAGAGTTAGGTGAGCCAGAACACAGCCTTCCTGGACAGATGCACAGAGAGAGAAGCCATGCCTGGTGGGCAACTTCCTTTCAGTAGAGACTCACACCCAACAAGTTTGTTTGGAGAAGGGAAACACCTCTTCTCTGCCTTGTAAAGACCACAGGGGGTCTGGTGTGCCCTTGGAACTTGCCTGAGGTAGAGATGCTACCCTTGTCCCAGCAGTCACCTGGGTGTTCTAAACCCCTAGTCCCTTTCCCAGAGCCCCCTCACAGTACCTTCCAGGTCTTTAGCTGTAGGACCTTTGGTTTTGGGACTCTGAATCCTTGTGTTTTGGTTTGACAGCTCTCTCTCTACCTCGTACCTTGGTCAAATATCTGACAATAGGCTCTATGAGGTTCAAATCACTCTTGCTGGCTGCCACAGAGCCAAGCTCTAGGTGTAGGAGGACATGGACAGGTAGGCTCTGCAGGATCCTGGCCAGAGCAGGAGTACCCAGTGCATTGTAAGACAAAGACAAGGTCTTCAGGTGCTCAGCATCTGCATGGGTAAGAACCTTTGTCAGCTCATAAAGCTACCCCTCCCTTTTCCCCACCTCAGAGTTCTGACCCCAGAAGCGTGATAAAACCCTTCGGGAAAACCTCTTATGTAGGGAAACAGAGACAAAGGCTCTTGTCCAGTGTCCCAAGCCCAGTTTCCCCCATTCCAAGTTCCTGGCGGCTGGGAATGAGGTGCTGGGCCAAGGCAACTATAAATGAAGGTCACAGTAGTGTTTTGACCATTGCTGCCTAATCCCAGGTCCCTCCCTCTGCAGTGTTCTACTGGGAAACTCCAGTCCCAGTCTTCTGTACTGGGGCAGTGTCTCTGTCTTAGATCAGCTCATGGTGAAACTGCCTCAGGCAGATAGAAAACTTAAGCCACAGGTACAGGGGGACTTTAGAGGCAGGATAGCCTGCCTGGGACCCAACTTGTGGTATATGGGGACTAGGGTGAGTCCTGAAGGCAAACAAAGCTGTCAGGAACCAGGTTTACATTGGAACCCAGGCTAAACCCAAATGTATACTTGAGTGCTCACTGGAGCTGGCCCTTCCTGCAAAAGTGAGCTCCTGATATACCAGGGTCCTTCTACCCAAGGTCCTAACTCCTTCAAAACTGCTCAGGGAGAACTATCAGCTTACCTTGGAGGGCGCTACCCAGAGCAGCCTGGTGACTTAGGAGGAAGCTGGGGCCCAAACCACAGGCCTGTAGGCGCAGGGTGCTAAGCATGGGGCAGGATCGCAGAAGGAAAGCCAGGGCTTGGCCACAGCCATCTCCCAGTGGGTTCATGCTTAAGTCCAGTTCCTCCAAGTTCTATAGAAGACAGGGTCTGGGCACTAAGTTCTCAGATACCCATGAGCCCACATTCCCAAAACGCATTTTGTCTCTGCATGGGTCCCACTCAAGAGAGCATTGGCCAGCTCTCCCTGATGCACCAGACCTGACTGAATATGAACAATGATGCCTTATAGTTGCTAGCCCACTGTACTGAGTCTCTTACCTGTAAAGCAGCTTGGCCCAAAGAGTCTCCAACAAGCTGGCGCAGACCTTCCTGGCCCAAGTGATTGGAAGAGAGGTCAAGGAGGACCAGATTAGGCATGGTACCCAAGGCAGCCAACAGCTCAGCAGAACATCTGTCACCTAATCGGTTCCCTGCCAGGCGCAGCTCTCGTAGTACTGTGTGTAACTTGAGGGCCCGCAGCAAGGGTATGAGCTGGGCCTGGTGCAGGGCCAGGGAACAGGCATTGAACGAGGGGCCTGAACTCTGACGCTCCATGGCCTGCAGCACTTGCTGGTGCTCCCCTAGGGAGAAAAATGGAAGGTCACCAGGACCAGAGCTTACACCTTCTTCTCTGAATCCAGGCAAACCAAGCAGCCCAGGAGGCAATGCTGAGACCATTCCCGTATGCCTGGGATTTAATGCCATGATGTGGATCTGGCAGTCTGGATCTGACCTCCTTTAGCCACACTCACACGTTCCATCCTCCAAGATAAGCATCCTGGTGGTTCTAGCCCACACCAGACTCCTCTGGTCTTGAGTTGCTTTAGGAACTCCCAAGAGCCCATGATCTCAGGACTGTCTGCCTCTACCTGTTACCCACATGTGCAAGTACAACAGGTCTAAAGCTGGGAAAGAGGTTTCCCCAGACCTAGGTATGTGCAAGGTAGACAGGAACTACATGCACAGCCCCTCTTGCCCAGGCCTCCAACTAAAGGCAGGGCTACTTCACCTTGCCCCAGGCTCTGGCAGGCCCTGCGGTAGCGGTCAGTCAGTGGGGGAAGGTCCCACGAAGTTACCTCAGCCAACACCTAGAGTATATAAGTAGTGAGTAGCCCTGAGATGCCCAGTGATGGGTAGCCTGTGCCCATGGCCCTGGCCCTGCTGCCCACCTCATCGTCACTTTGCAGCACATCAAGGATGGGGTCCTGTGGGGCCAGCAGTGCTCCCTCCTTCTTCAGGGTTAGCTTTGGCAGCAGTCCACAAGTTTGGTAATAGCGTTGGGCAGCCTGCTCTGCTAGCCAAGCCACAGAGCAGCTATCACTGCTATAAAGAATGGCACACTAAGCCCAGATGCCCCGAGGTCTGCTCAGGGCCTCTGGCTCCTTCATCTGGTGTTTTCCCATCCCCTCCCCCTGGATAATTAGCTTCCTATTTGTGCAGCCTAGCACATGACCCGCTCATCTGGTCATTTCTAAGGGCCACAGAGCCTACCCAGGCCACTCTGAGGAGCTCTGCTTGGGCTTGTTCAGGATACCCTACAGCTTGATGTAGCGGGGTGTCATGTCTAAGGGAGTCCTTGTCACAGATCCCATTCTGACATGTACACAACAGTTCCTCACTGCAGCTCATAACCTAGGTAGAGCTACATAGTAGACAGAAGGGGCCAGACTGGGAGAAGGCACATACCTTACCTATATGGGACAGGGATGAGGAAAAGGTTATCCTGAACTCGAACTCGAACTCGGATGGGAGGGGCCTGGACCAGAAGCTGGCAGGTAGGGACAAGGAGAGAGGAGTCAAGCAAGTGTGAGGTTTCTATCCCCACCTGCCTCAGGCTGGAAAGGCAGTTCTACTATAGGCTTGGGTACCCACCGAGGGTTGTCCTACTACAGGGTTTTCCCTGCTGGGCTCTGAGGCCCTAAGCATGCTGGAGTTTGCAGGAGGTTCTGCAGCCAGGCTGCCATCTCCTGTTTTGTCCAGTACACGCCAATGCTCAAGACATGTCGGGCGGTTCTGCCTGTCACGAGCACGGGTCCTGACAGGGCACCGCTCATAGTCTGACCCTGAAGTAGTAGGCCTGCTACTGCGGGTCACAGGTGCATCTAACTCCAGCCACTCCCCAGCCAGGTATTCTTCCTCTGGAATGAGTGCTGCCTTGGGGGCAGGGACTTGGTCTGAGCCCCGAGGCACGCTGGGTGCCAAACGACGACTCTGGGCACTGCCCACTCCTCGAATGGCTGCCCGGTAAGCAGCTTGGCCAGCACTTGCTATGGCTGTCTCTCTGCTGCTGGCAAGGCTAGGCTTCCGGGCGTCTTCCAGCTGTGCTGTAGCAGACCATCTTAACCTCTTCTCGGATGGCCTGCAGGGTCCCATACTGTCCTCACCCTCTGAGCTGCTACTGCTGCTGGCTGGCCTGTGCCTGTTCTTTCGAGGTCTGGCCACAGGTAACACAGCCTCTGGAGAGACCTTGGAAGGGGCTGGAGAGGCCTTTGAAGGTCTAAGAGTACATGAGGATTCTGGGCAGGGGCTTGAGGGAGGAGAGGTCTCAGGGTCAAACAGATGGTTACTTGGGATGGTCTGGAAGGCAGGGAAGCTGTGGGGGGCTGAGAGAGACAATCAGTTGTGAGAAAGGGCCCCACCTCATTTCCAGTCCCTTTGTTAAAGTCAGGGCTGAAGAGGGGGAGAGAAGAGCCCAGGGAGAGAGGTGGGCCTGTTACCTGGGTCTGAGGAAGTCACCTGGAGCCTCTTCTCCATGGATGCCGCCTTCTGTCTTGTCTCAAGGTCGAGGTCCCTGAAGTACAACTTCACCCACTGTTGCAGTGTTTCCAGTGGGCTGTGACCCTGTGTGGCAGCAAGCTGAGTAGGGCAAGAACAGACCCCATCACAGTCCCTGCCCTCCCTGCCTAAGCCCAGGCTCACCTTCTTGGTACGAAGGGTTATGGATGCTCCTCGCTCAATGAGTAGTTCAGCTACTTCAAAGTGGCCACAGTTGAGGGCATCATGCAGGGGGGTGATGCCATCACACCCCTGGCCACCCGGGTCATCCACTGTTGCCCCGTGGTCCAGAAGAAAGCGGACAATCTCTGGGGGCCAGAACACATAAGCTCAGCTCCCAGCAGCATTCTCAGATGCTTTCTGACTCACATGCCCGTTGTATGTCTGGACTGGCCCCACTTACCCAGATGCCCATAGTTGCAAGCTTCATGTAGAGGTGTCCAGCCACAGTAGTCTCGAGGGTTCAGGGGATGGCCCTGTGACCAAGGACAGGATGGAGTCTGGTCCCAGTGGAGCTTTATGACTCGAGGCCTGGAGGCCTGTCTTAGACCCCAAAGTGGGCCTCATAGGTCTACTCCTTGATATGGCCCCCTCCTACCGCCTAATTTCATCAATGAAAGTGAGGATGATCTACCCCTCCCTGTGTACCATACTGTGCCTTGGTACACACAGTGCCCAACTGTAGGGCTTGGAACAGGAGGGAGGGTGCCAGAGGTTTCAGTCTGTTGGTCATTCCCATCCTGGCTAGGCCAGCCTATTCAGCCACAGTGGGAACACTATATACATACACACCTATTTTCTTTTTTTTGGTCTTTTTGAGACAGGGTCTCCCTGTAGCCCCAGCTGACCTGGAACTCACTATGTAGACCAGGCTGGCCTTGAACTCACAGAGATCTGCCTGCCTCTGCCTCCTGAGTGCTGGGATTAAAGGCGCTACATCTGGCTTATCTCATCTATTTTTAAAGACAAGCAATAAAAGCGATACTGCCTAGGTCCACAGCTCCCGCAGGAAGCCAGGGCGGCCCACCTGTCTCACAAGGTCCTGGACACGGCGCAGGTGGCCTTCGATGCAGGCTCGGTGTAGCAGGGTCTCTCCCATGTCATTGCGCCGATTCCACTAAAGGTATAGTTGCCCCAATTCAGGGCAGAGATGTGAGGGACAGGAAATATGGCTGGGTATAGTACTCTTGGCACAGGGAGGGATAGGGCAAATTGTCCTCACCTTGTTTACCTTCCGCCGGCCCAGACAGCCCTGAAGTTCCTCATCCTCCTGTAGCCGCTTAGACAGGCTGTCAGCATCATCCTCTGGATAAGAACCCCCACCCCAACCTTTAGCCTGCGGGAGGTCAGTGGTAGGAGCTCCTGTCCTACCTCCCCTGACCTTAGGGAAGAGCAGCAGCCACAGCAGGAAGTAGAACTCTGGGGTCTGCTGGCTCTGTAGCCAGGCAGAGCAAAGCTGACTCCCATCCAACCCAACCCACCAATAGCCCACTTCTACCCACTACACATAGGAGTTATATTCTTTGCCTTTCTGCCCCACCGTCAGAGGAACAGCCTTTGTCCACCATGTGCTGGCCTCACACTCCTCTACATAAGACCCTGCTCTTGAAGATTAATTTCCATCACAGACTTCTACCTTCTCTCTGAGGAAACACCCCTGTCAGGAAAAGTCACCCACTCAGGCCTGGTGCCCTGCAAGCTACTGGCCTCTTGGCCCCTCCCATTACTGGTGATTTTTTGCCAGATGCCCTTCACTGGGCCCTCTGCTCCTTCCTGGCTTCCCTCCTGTTATCTCTTCTTCTGTGTCCTCTCTTGTAGCTGTGGCTACCTGCTGAATGACATTCCCTAAGGATGAAATCCTTGTCCCTCTCTTCTCACACAAACTATGTACCAAGACTTACCCTCAATCTCTGAGACATGATCCAACTTTCCAGGTTGCTGAGGTTCTAGCCCCCAAGTTCATACCTGAAGTCAAGGCCTTTCTAGGAATCTAGTCCATAAACCTCAGTTGGTTCCTCTCTGCCCACCACATAGCTGGAAACCATCCCTCAGCTCCATAGCCTTCTTCCTGCCTTGCCCCATGTGGCCCAGATGTTCTCATTCCTAGCTCTGTTACATCAGATCCCTGAACACACTGACCTTGAGTTCCATGCTAAGCTGGAACATGCTAAGCTGTGGTGGGGGCAGCATGGTCATCCATGATACACCATCTCACCCTGAACACATGCTTCTAATAGGATCATCTCCCCAGATTCTGACCCCAAATAGCCCTCCCTGACTGATGCCCACTCAGCCTCTGACTACTAGCTTCCTCAGAGAGCTTCTGATCACTATGTCCATGCTCCATGCAAACTGCCAGCTGCCTCCATGCATTTCCAAAGAAATACTGGTTACCTTCCCTGACAGCAGCCACTTTTCCACCTTGAGTCCTATGCAGGCTCCATGAGGGCACAACTGTGGTCCATCCTAGCCACCAGCTCAGAGTAGACCCAGTGGGAAAAGCCAAGTACAGCTGGCACAGCATACAAGGTAGCATTTGGTACTTACCACTCTCTGAGAGTTCCAGGTCACTGGCCTCCAGGGCTTCACTGGCTGACTCTTCCTCTTCCTTCTCTTCCTCCTCCTCTTCCTCCTTGTCTTTTGCCATACTCAGCTCCTGCAGTCTAGTTTTAGTGCCAGGCGCCTCTTGGGGCTGCAACCTTAGTTGCACAGTATGGAGGTGCTGTAAGATCTGCCTCTGATGAGTAGAGGGGATGTCTAGTTCAGGGCCAAAGTGGGACAAGCAGGACCACAGGAGGCAATGGATGCAAAGAATGACAGGGACTTGCAACAAAGGGACAACAAGGCTGTAAGAAAGCAGGCTTGAAACCAGGCCTAGTGGTGAGTCAGGACTTGTAATCCTAGATAGTCCAAAGGTTGAGGTAGGAAGATTCTAAAGTTCAAGACCAACTTAGGGGAACTTAGTGAGATTCTATCTCATTAAGAAAAATACAAAGAGGGTTGAAATTCAAGACCCTAGTTTCAAAACCCAGGAAAAACAAACAAAGCTGGGCTTATTGGGGATCCAGTGGAGGTGGGATATGTTCTTATACCTGCAGCTGGAGCTGCTGGGCCTGCTGGGCACAGCTAAAAGCCTTCTGGAAGCATGGTGCCAGCAGCTCATAGGTATCACCAGCATCCTCACGGGACAGTGCAATGTTGAACCAAGTCTTAGCTTCCTGGAACAAAGAAAGAAGGACAAGGTTGGTGGCTGCTGACCATGTCCAGTGGGCCCCTGCCATAGGCTTGCTTCCCTTAACTGGTCAAATGAAACCAGATCTGCCTTAACTCTATGTCCCATCTCTAACTGACAGGCCATGACAGACAGGCCTTTGAAAAAATAGCCTATGGTATTGAAGCATCTACTCACACCCATCACTAGAAAATGGTGGACACCTGCACTTGCAGAGGGCACAAGGGCACATCACCTCCAGGGCATTGCCCTTGCGTAGCCTCAGTTCCTCTTCATAGTGGTAAACAGCCTGGTGGTGATCCTTCATATCTCCAAGTGTGGTGGCCAGGGACACATGGATGACAGCCAGCTCGAGATCTGGTCTGTTTAGCAGCTCAGCAAAGTGTAGCTAGGGAGCCAGCACAGTAAGGCTCAGACCAACTGTGTACCCTGCTGAAACTTCCCTCCTCCCCCATAAGGGGTTCATTCACCTGTTTCTGGTAAGCTTCAGCTGCCTTGGGAAAGTCACCTGCCTTGGAGAAAAGGTCCCCCAACTGTTCACAGATGGCCATGGCATCGTGAGGGTCATTGCCCTCAGCCTCTTCCAGCCGCTGCTGCAGCTGGATTACTGCCAGCACTGTTAGAAAGAGTTTCCTGTGAGAGGGTAGCACAGCATGGGGTCTCAACCCCAACCTATCGTCCACCAGCCAATGGCAGAGGGCCTGGAAACAGGGGAAAGTGAGGCCTCTCCATGCCTCCATGTGACCATAAAAGGGGATAATGAGAGAACTGACCACCTGTGACTCTTGAGGGTTAGATGAATGAATATGCTTAACGGCCTAGAACAGTGCTTGGCCTAAAAGAGTTGACCACTGTCAGCCATGACTAACCATCACTATCAATTTCTGGGTTATAGCATGCCACCTGTGCTCCCATCCATTAATGATGCTTTGTGACAAAGGCCTGGATAGCGTCCCACTTATCCTGTAGTGCCCTAGACACACTGTGCAGTGGGCCTGACAAAAGCAAGGGTCTCCAACTGACAGGTGCCAACCTTTCTTACTGGGTAGAGGCCCATGCTCAACCTGCCACTTCCCCAATGGGTCTCTTCTGCAGAGCCCTTCTTCTACCCCAGGGGTTCAGTTCCAGATGCCTGTATAACCTCACCATATTTAAGACTCTGACAGACAGCCACTTTCTGCATAGGCTTCTGGGAACCCAACCTATAGGCCTTCTTCAGGGCTCGTTTGGCAGCCAGAAAGTCCCCCAGATCTTGGAGCACCTGGGAGGAGACGAAGGTGAGGCCAGCAGCCTCACCCAAGGCCCAAGCCCACCAGGTAAGAACAGAAGAAATACCTGGGACACCACCATACAGCACTCACTCTCCATGAACCTCATCTTCATGGCATGTGCGCATTCCCGGGCCCCCTCCAGGCAGCGCATGGCCTGTGAGTGCTGCCCTCCACGCCAGTGGATGGTACCCAGGTTATAGCGGGCTCGGAACAGGTCCTCGTAGAGATGGTTCTGCCTGTGGAGGGTAGGGTAATAGGTACTCAAGAATGCCCAGAATCCTCCAGCTTTGAAAGAGTGGGCACTAAAGTACCTAGGATGCCAATCATGTCTAGCCAGTTACAGCTATTGACACCACACAGATCCCAGCCCTACATGCTGTGGTCTCAGGCCAAAGCCTGCAGCATAGATGCGAGCGGCTTCTTGGTTTATAGAAAATGAGTAAATCAGCCAGGCGTGGTGCATGCCTTTAATCCCAGCACTTGGGAGGCAGAGGCAGGTGGATCTTTGTGAGTTCAAGGCCAGCCTGGTCTATATAGTGAGTTCCAGGACAGCTGGGGCTACAAGGAGACCCTGTCTCAAAAAGACCAAAAAAAAAAAAAGAAAATGAATAAATCAGCTAAGCTACCCTCCTAGGAAGATCCTAGGGGACCACCATTCCCTGATGGGATAGGGATGGTGCTTTACTCAGCGAGAAAGATGCTCTTTTTGAAGTATTCATTGCACAGGGCCGTCTGCTGCAGACTCTCAAAGGTGAGGCCTAGGTTGAGGTAGAGTCGGGTCCTCATCTCACTCAGCTCTCGCTGGGTCAGCTTCCCTGGAAGATACCCACTCCAGACACTCAGCTGCCTCCTCAGAATAGGAGGTTTCCAGCTGTTCCCCATCATTCATCCCATTTCTTGTTGAGGGAAACAGGTCTGCTGCAGACAGAGTACAAAGGACACAAAGAACAGATGCCCAACAGGTTCAAGGTGGTAGGCAACACAGATATCCCCTCAGATGGAGCCTTGCAAAGGGAGGGAGATGGGGAGAATCCAAGTCAAGGGTACCTACCCTCCAGCTTCTCATCCACAATAGCCAAGCTCTTCTCAAAGGCAGACTGTGCCTGCAGTAAGGCATCTCTTGACTGGCAGTGATCATACACATCTAGGTGGGTGCGGCCAATGGTGGCCCAGGCCCTCTGTAGCTCAGTGTGGTTGGACAGGGAACCAGCTAGCTCCAGATAGCAGTGCTGGTGCTGGTAAAGAGAGAAAGAGCCTTGATTTATTCCACTTCAAGCAAACCCACAAGTCATGACCGCTGGGGAAGCTGACAGAACCTTTTGCTCCCCAAATTCCCACAGAGCTGGCCACACATGTCCTATCTGTTCTGTGTCAGGGGCTGTCTATGATGACAGTTACTCCATGCTGCAGCCAGCCAGTGTCCTTGTGGGAGACCACTAAGGGCTGACTGAACTGTTGCTCCCAACAGCACTGGGTCATGATCCTTCCTCTTTCCACAGAGCAGAAGTTATATTCCTTAGTAGTTTCAGCTGTCATAAACCCATTTGTGGCCCCCACCCAAGGACCAGGCAGCATCCTTGGCAGACATGAGGGTGCGGCTGCCTGCCATGTCTGCTGTTGTCTTATACTCAAGTGCAGGCCTGGCACCTGAAGAGCAGCAGAGTAGTCCTCCATCTCAGCCAGCCGCTCTCCAATCTTGCGGTGGGCCACAGCGCAGCCCAGGGTGTCCTGGGCGCTCTCCAGCAGATGTAGCTCCTGCTGGTGCTCCTTCAAGGCCTCCGCGAAGTGTCCTGCCGCGGGAAGGGAGTGGAGCGGGAAAGGTGCACCGTCACCCAGTTAGAAGGAGGGCGGCCGACCTAAGGGCTGGCTCTGCCCGCCTCCCCACCCTCTGACCGCTCTCGCTCACCATGGCCAGCCAGCAGCTCCCCAAGCTGGTGGCAGCAGGCAGCCTCCTCGCGCAGCTGCCCGCTCCTTTGGGCCCTGGCCTTGGCTTTGTTCAGCTCTGCTGGGAGGAAGAAAAGACTAAGCAGGAACCCGATCCGCGCCCTGGGCTCCCAGCACTCGCGCCCCAAAAGACTCACGGCGGAGCTCCTGTTCCAGGGTCATATTCATGCAGCCACTGCAGCCACGGGACTCTGGGTTTCCCGCGCTGCCCTGAGACCCCGCCTACTTCCCCAGAATCCAGAGCGCATGCCCTCGGTGGCTGAGGAGGCCTTAGAGCGTCATCCGCGCTGTAGTCCTCCCATAGGCCTCCTGGGAGCCGTAGTCTAGCGGGCGCAAGTCGCGCCCCATCAGCTGCGGAGCCGAGCTTGTGCGTGGGCGGGACCAGGGTGGATAGGCCGGCAGGGCCTGGGGCGGAAACACGACCCGACTGTCGAAGTTCTCTGGCGGGATTCTCTGTGTGGCCGCTGGTGGGGAACTGACCCTGCAATCCTGGGATTCGCCTGTTTTGTTTTGTTTTTTAAGGTTGATTTATTTTAGGGGCTGGAGAGATGGCTCAGCGGTTAAGAGCACTGGCTGCTCTTGCAGAGGACCTGGGTTCGGTTCCCAGCACCCATATGGCGGCTAACAACCTTCTATAACTCCAGTTTCAGGACACCCAATGCCCTCTTCTGGTCTTTGTAGGCATTGCATACAATTGGTGCCCTTGCATAAAATAAAAATTAAACATTTTTTATGTGTATGAGTGTTTTGCCCACATGTATGTATGTGCACCGCATAAATGCCTGGTACCCGCGGAGGCTAGAAGAGGGTGTCGGATTCCCCTTGAACAGCGAATTGTGAGCCATGGGTGCTAGTAACCTAACCTGGTCATTTGCAAAAGCAGCAAATACTCTCAACCATTTAGTCATCTCTCCAGCCCCCTCCGTCTACGTTTTAAGATTTATTTATTTATTTATTTATTTATTTATTTATTTATTTATTTATTTATATATTATGTGTGTGTGTGCGTGTGTTTATATAGATCAGGCTGGCCTTGAACTCACAGAGATCCACCTGCCTCTGCCTCCCGAGTGCTGGGATTAAAGGCGTGCGCCACCACGTCTGGCTTTTTAAGATTTATTTTTTAAAAATGTTCTATTATTTTTTATTTTATGTGTATGCATGTATTGCCTGTATGTATGTAAGTGCACCCAGCTTGTGCAGTGTTTGTGGAGGACAGAAGAGGCCATAAGATCCCTAGAACTGGAGTTACAGACAGTTGTTAATTGCCATGTGGGTGCTGGGATTTGAACCTGGGTCTTCTGCAAAAACAGTCAGTGTTCTTAACCACTGAGCCATCTCTCCAACCCTTATCTTTTAAATTGTGTGTGTCTGTGTCTGTCTGTATGTGCATGTGAATTTGGGTACCCATGGAGACCAGAGGAGTGGGATCCCACTAGAGCGGGAGTTACAGACAGGTTGTGAGCTGCTAGACTTGAGTGCAGGAATCAAACTCTGGTCCTCTGCTCACAGTGTTCTGTAATGTTACCCTCATTTCCTCTGGAAATTAAGGCACATACCACCTATTGACACTTTAATTTTTTTTTTTTTTTTGGTCTTTTTGAGACAGCGTCTCCCTGTGGGTTCAACTGGCCTGGAACTCCCTATGTAGACCATGCTGGCCTTGAACTCACAGAGATCTGCCTGCCTCTGCCTCCCAAGTGCTGGGACTAAAGGAGTGCACCCCGTGCCCAGCAATTTTTTTTTTTTTTTTGAGACAGGGTCTCACTAGGTAACCCTGGCCTGGCCTGGAACTTGCTCTGTAGTAGACAAAGCTGGCCTTGAACTCACAGAAATCTGGCTTCCTCTGCCTCCCTAGAGCTGGAATTAAAGACTACCACTCCTGGCTACACATGTAACTCTTAAAGATGAGGTATGAGGCCTTAACTGCAACATCAGATGCTCCAGGGAAGAGCCCATGTGCAAGAGGACACAGTTACATTTGGGAACTCACTCCCCCAAGGCTGTTGACAGAAGAAGGGGAGGAAATGTATTTTTTTTAATAAACAGAGCAAAGTATTTTTTCTGGGAGTGTTCCCAGAAGATGTAATGAAGACACTTGTAAGTTGTGTAACTGTGTTGAAAAGCAATTGGGGTGGAAATTAGGCTGAAGGGTTAAAACCAATCCACATTTCTCATCTGCAAAGGGCTTGAAGCCATATCTGGAATCTTGTGATTCAGGGTGCTCAGTTCCCCGTTATCTTGAGGACCAAACAAGTGCCATGACTTGGGGCTCTCACTCCTGGCTGTGGGGCAAGTCCAGCACCTGACTGTGTACTGAGGGCCCCAGTGGAAATTTGGTGCAGAATCCACAGTCATAGGAGTGAGAGATAGACAAGTTTTTCTTTCTCTTCGTTGTTTTTTTGGGTTTTTTGAGTCAGGGTCTTATGGAGCCCAGGCAAGCCTCAAACTCACCATGTAGCAGTGGGATGACCTTGAATTCCTGATCTTCCTGCTTCTACCTCCCAATTGCTGGGATTATAAGCATCTGTCCACCACACTCATCACCAGACAAGTTCATTTTCTATCGGAATCAAAACAATGGGGTAAAACTCTCAGCTAGAGGACAGACAACAACACCTGTTGGGAAGAACGTGATGTAGAAAGCAGATAGGCCTATGAGAAGCTCCTACATCTGACAGACCCTTCAGAACGCCAGGCATTGCTGCCTGAAGACTACCAGGGTGTGGTGAGATCAGTCCTGTAGAGCTGTGCATGGTGAAAAGGAAAATCAGATGTGGTAGAGCTCCTTAACAAGGGCAGATATTAGACCAACCCTTGATGGGCCCCAGGATGTCAGAATAAGTTTGGAGACCTGCCACCTCCTTCCCCATTCCAAAGCCTCTGAAATCAAGCCTACCACCTAGAAGGCTGGCTAGGCATGTGAATGGCACAGTGAGAGAGGAGGAGTGGGATGGAGAAAGGTACGGGATGAAGAGCTAAAGACATGAGGGAGGCCCCAGAGCTGTTGGGAAGACCATGAATCACCTTCCCTCTAGGTCTCGGGTTCACAAAACAGCACAGTTCCTGGGAGCCTGTTGAGATCAGGCTGATCTAAATTACTCTATATTGAAGCAGCTTTTTTAAAAAAATTTGAGGTCTGGAGAGATGACTCAGCGGTTAAGAACACTGGCTGCTCTTGCAGAAGACCCAGGTTCAAATCCTAGCACCCACATTGCAGCTAACAACTGTCCATAACAACAGTTTGAGAGGATTGAATGGCCTCTTCTGCCCTCTGCAGGCATTGCAAGACACAGGTACTTACATACATGCAGGCAATACAATTATACACATAAAATAAAAATAATTTTTTAATTTAGTGATTTTTAGTTATATATATGTGTCTGTGGCAATATGTACTCTTCTGAGCCTTTCTGAATCATCTTTCTAGTCCATAGGCAGCTTACTTATTATTTGTGTGCATGCTTATGTGTATGAATGACTTGGGGCAGGTGCACACAGTGTGGTGTGAATGTGGAGGTCAGAGGACAACTTTGTAAAGCCAGTTTTCTCCTTCCAAACTTAGGTGGGTCCCAGGGATTGTACTCAGGTTGTCAAGCCTGTGTAGCAAGTGCCTTTACTCACTGAACCATTTCACTGGCCCAGAAGCAGGTATTGACTCCATTTTGAGGATGATGACTCTGTGCTTAGGTAGACATGTGAATGACACTTTCTGTCTGGCATCATCTATGTAGCACAGACTGATAAATAACTTATTCCTGGGAGTAGAAAGGGTGTCACTCTATAAATTTATTGAGGTAAATTGGAACTGTAGGGGCATGTGGGTGCATTCAAATCATATCAGGGAAATGAAAACCATGACCAAGAATTTATGAACACACCATACTGAATGTTAAATCTCAGACCAGAAGCTGCTCAAGTTGTAACCATCCACAGCTTAATCTCCATCCTCATAGTTGTTGCTGGGATCCCTGGTATGAGTCTTTAAACAGACTCTTCAGGTGTCCAGATTTCAGAACAGTAAGTGCCGTTTTTACTTCCCCAAGGAAGTTTACAGACCAGGCTATCAGACTTCAGGACATCAGAGGGCTTAGCAGCCCCCTGATTCATATAACGGGCACACCTCAACTAGATGTGCCCTTCCTCATTTCCCCCACATCCTGAGTTGTACATTTCTTCCCCAGAATTCCCTACCCTCTCCCAGGAATCAAGAACAGCCTGGCAGCAGACTCCTTCTGTGAAACCTTCCTTCTTCCTGAGACCTATAAGAAGGGATTTCCACTTTGCCTCAGAAAGCTGAACTCTTACCAGAGACCGTCTGCTGCTGCATGTATATCTGTTCATAGCATTAACTCTTCTATTTCTTACCCAGAAGGACAATGTACTTTAGACTCAAGAACTTTCACTAAGGAAAGGGCACTAGCTAACACTACAATGCCCCGATAGATCTGTCATCTGACTACCCAGTGTGTGCATTAAGCAACAGGCAGTGGGTTCCTGACTGTTCCAGGGGCTGAAGCCTGCCTTAGTTCTTGCTATTGACATGGCTGTCTGTTGGTTGTCCTGTTTGCACATCTATACCTGCTGTCCATTTGTCCACCCGTTTATCTGGACCCAGTCCTAATCTTTTCTGTAGCTGGACTCAACTCTGCAGGTTTGATCTCAAACCTGTGACCCTCAGTGGTCTGACCCCCCAAAGCAGTAGCAGACTCCAGCAGTTGGTTATTTTCTCTCACAGAGACATCTGCATCTCTATCAGTGTTTCTGCCTCAGACCTCTGAAACCTCTTAAACTTTGTGGCCTCTACTAAGATTGTAATAAATGAATCTGTGTTTGCCTTGGTCAGGGTTACCAAGGAAAAAAGAACATCTGGCAAATTGTTACCACTGAAATTATAGTACATTGTGAACTTAGTGTTATTCAACAAATCCTGACATTGAAAAAAGACACAAATGTGGCCGGGGGTGGTGGCAAACGCCTTTAATCCCAACACTCAGGAGGCAGAGGCAGGTGGATCTCTGTGAGTTCAAGGCCAGCCTGGTCTACATATTGAGTTCCAGGACAGCTGGGGCTACATGGAGACCCTGTCTCAAAAAGACCAAAAAAAAAAAAAAGGACAAAATGAATTTATTTCATAGTGAGTTCCAGGACAGCTGGGGCTACATGGAGACCCTGTCTCAAAAAGACCAAAAAAAAAAAAAAGGCACAAATGTATTTATCTACATTTCTAACAGTTTCCCACAACAGAGCCCAGTTACTCTTTAGAGGTAATTCAACTTTTCTATCCAGGTGCTTTACAGGACTGAAGGCTGAAGGACTGGGGGATAGGGATACAGGCTGAGGGAGACTAGCAGAGCCCAGGAAACCCCACCACAAGACTGTCTTTTGGTAAGGAAACACAGACAAAACATGGTTTAGAATATTTTTTTAAACTACAGTTACATACAGAAAATATTCAAAGAAAATGCAAAGCACAAAAGTGACATGGTAACTCATTTCCAACAGCCATAAAAACACTTCTTGCTCTGCTCTTTAGAAAATTATTTTTTTATTTTTGTAAATGTCTCACTTTGGGCAAACTGAGGGATATGGTGCTCACAGGGAGTGGGAATGAGACAGGTTGGTGGGGGGCTTGGCCTATGCAACCCCTCCAGCAGCCTCATCAATATCTGCTGAGACTAAACCCCTTTCACATCCCCAGAGAAGACAGATAAAAGACCAGATTAGGACAGAAAGATGACAGGATTCTGGACACAAGCTGGTAAATGTGGTGCCCCTTCCCCCAAATAAAGGGCCCACAGTGACAATGCTGAAAGGTTTTGTAGAGCCGGTCTCCAGCATGGCCAAGAGACATGCTAATTTTCCTTGGTGTCTGGTTCTTCTAGGCTGTGTGAGTCTCACCTGGGCACTGCCCTAACCCTATGTGTGCCTTGGGGTATGCCTCTTAGCCATACACACCTGCACCCAAAACTATGCTGCCTCTGAGCCCCCAGCTTCACTCCCCATGCCCACTGTGTCCCAGTTTGCTTGTGCTCATGGGGAGCAAGCCTCTCATCCTGTCCTTCCCCAGACCTGCAGGTTGCCTTCTGTGAATCAGTCTCTCACATATCTGGACACAGGTGAACAGGGCAAGTCCATCCTCCCAATTTTTACATCACCACCTTGCAACCTAGAAGTTTCCCATTTTCCAAAGGCCCTCTGCCAGGTGAACATGAGAGAGAAGCTTGTCCCAAAAGGGAGAGGAAAATTATGGGGCTATAACCTGAATCAGGGGCCACTGCTCCCATGGATGTGCTGCAATCTGACATGGGGTCTTTTGTAGCAGAAGCCAAATATGGGCCTTCCCAACTCATTTGGCCAGGTGACATTTGCAGGAGAGAACTCCCCACAAGCCTCATGCAGGAACTCAAATAGGGTTCTGGAAAATAGCTGAGAAACTTTCAGTCTATGCTTTCAGTCTATGCAGAGGTGGGGGACTATACTGGCCTGTACCTGGCCATACTCAGGAAGACAGGTGGGGCTTGTATCCAGCATCACAGGGCCTTCTCTTCATTTCTTGGCCCCTTGCCCTCCTGAAGGCCAGGGTAGGAGGAGCCTCAGGAGTCATCCCACCAACACTCTGTACCCAACATGGCCAGGACTACCCTGTCCCTCAGACAGGAAGGATTGGGCAGTGGAGGACCAGATCCAAGCAGTTTGCATGGGGTGGTGGGGGCTGCTTTGAGACATGTGGAGGGCTGGCCAGGGCAGAGGAAACCAGTTCTTTGGTATTAAAGCAACGAAAAACTATGACAGAAGAGCCTCATCTCCTAAGCAGATCGAAAGAGGCAAGTCCTACCCTTCCCAGTACCTCTGGAGGACTCAAGGGGAAAAGGGACAAGGGCCTAGCCCTACCAGGAAAGGCTGCTTCCCGTTCCATGAAGGCCTAATAGTGGTTCTGGTCACAACCACCACTCAGAGCATCTGTGACTGGTCAAGTCAAGGGGAGGGCCTACTTCCTTCAGGCAATAAAACTACATTGTGCTGCCTTGGTCCTGTTGCCCCCACCAAATGCAGTTCTCACAGACAGTGGCTGCCTCCTTGGTACCCCGAGGACACCTGGCCTTCTAGGCTGAGTAAAGAACCTATAGAGTTTAATTTTTTTTCTTGGGAAGAGACAGAATTTCACCCTGCATTCCGAAAACATTTGCTGAGCCCTGCTGGCAAAGTCCCGCCTCCTTTGAGTGGTCAATGGCTGGGGGAGCCCAACTCTCCCTGGCTCACTGACCAGGCCTTAGTCTCAACCCATGACAGAATGTGGGGAGGCAGTGTCTATAAGTCCTTCCTGGGGTACACAGGCAGGTACAGTATCAGGGACAAGATAAACTCTGACCGCCAGGACAAACCAAAGCTCCCACGAAGTCTGTTCATGGCCACGCCTTCCCCTCCAACAAAACAGAAAGTAGGAAACAAGGCTGCCTTTTTAATTGCAATCAAATATACTGTCTGAAGTCAGCCAGGGCCTCTGAGCCTGGCCAGGGAACCACAGCGACACCTAGACGTGAGGATGGGAGCTGGGGGCAAAGGTGGCTGGTTTCTTGCCCTCCTCACCACCTGTACCTGAGCCTGAGGAGCCCAGAGTACTGTTTTCACTGTGGTCAGCCCAGCCTCTGGCTGCCTGTAGGAGGTGGGAGGCAAAGGGGAGGAAGGGGAGCCAGAGGCAGGGACCCAGTCGCACACACATGCAGACTTTCCCAGTGTTTTGATTTTGTTTTCCTCTGCTAAAATGATCAGATAGTAGTGCGAAGTTGCTGCCAAGCCAGGGGTGGATGGGACAGTACTACTGGACTGCAGCCCTCCGCTCCTTAGGCGTCCTGGGCCCATCCTACTTCTGAATCTGGAACAGGAAGAGCCGCAGGTTGATGTTCTTGGCAGCTAGCAGCTTGTTGCACTCCACAGAGTCGATGATGGGCAGTGGCACATAGTCTGTCTCATTGCTCTCGTTGGTGAAGACAAAGTGGTAGATGACAGGACTGATCCTCACGTCGTCATATGGGCCCTTGAGCAGAAGGAAAGAACACTCCAGGGGTGCTGTGACCTTGCTCTTGAGGAGCAGCTGGAAGGAAAGTGTGCGCTTGCATGACAGGTTGGGGTTGCGCTCGGAGTCATTCACACGAGCCTTCAGGACCCATGTCTGGTTCAGTACTGTGAACCGTGGTGTCTCATAGTACAGGCGCGTAATGAAGTCATCAGTGCGGTAAGGCCGGAACTGAACCTCTGTGGAGACAGACAGGGCCGGAGACAGCCAACTGTTAGTGCTGGGCAGGGCCAAGGGGTGGCGCCTTCCCCAACAGGCCAAGGACAGGCTCAGCCAGTGAGGAAGGCAACTTACCCGGGAACAACGTGCTCTACTTGTCACATGGCAAATGGAGGTGCACAAGCTTTTGGGGGGAACTACAAACAGAATTAACACCAATTAGCTGAAGAGTCCTGACACTGTAGGAGGTCAGGCTGCATCCCAGGTATGGCCAACCGACAGAGCCACCCTCTCCACCCTCAGTCCCATCCCCTCAGGGGTGGGGTAAGCAGACACACAGACAGGATACAGTTCTGAGAACAAGTGCACTTTATTGGTTCCGATACAGAGCTGCCAGAAAAGCCGGCAGGTGAGCATACGGTATCTGGTCTTGCCCGAGGGGAGTGCCAGGTCCTTCATGTTGGACTGTGGTATGGGCTCTGCCCAGCTGTCTGTAGGGCTGTTGCTTAGCAGGCAGACCTGCCTTTGCAGTCCTCTTTGCAGGCCTGTGGCTGGCAAGTCCTGCTGTGAAGGTGTGGGCTCTTACGCAGCCAGTCCTTCCTGCATGTACAGGGCTTCCCACCTAGCCCCTGCTGTAGCCACATGGCTTGGCCCGCCCAGATCCCACAGGCTACCAGATCAGCCAAGGCTGCTTTTAACCAGGGGCCATAGCTTTCTGCTGGTGCAGCCCCCTGGGCCCTTTGCTTCTCAGGCCTGTTTGGGCCAGTCTAGGCAGCATGGCATGACTGACTGTTCAAGACTGCCCTGGGTTTTCTGAGCTGGCCACCTGCCGTAGGGTGTACAGTAGAGGGAATGAAGTTTCCCTGAGTGGCCCCACTGTCAGCAGGTTCTTCTTGCTGTTCTCTGGCCCAAGTTCTGGCCTGGCTTCTGCTCCCCGACATGTTCAAAAGCTGGTGGCAGTGGCCCAGGAGCTGTGACATCCAGTGGGCATAGGCCCAGTCCAGCCTGCTCATCTGTGGGCATCCACTCCCAGGTCTACAGTTTGAGATGAGCACCCTCAGCTTGTTCCGGAGCCCTGCCCCTGAACAGCTTCATGCCAGCCTCAGGAGGCCCCGTGGCCTTCAGTGAACATCTGCAGGCAGGACCTTACTTGATGGACCGTTCTTCTTGCTTCATGCTCCAAAGGTAAGGACCTAAGCTCCCAGACCTCCCCGAAACATACCTCATTTTCTGGTTAGACCCCAACCATCCCAAGTCTGTGGAGTCCTATACAGTGACGGGGTCACCTTGCTGGGGTGGTAGGCAGAGGTGGGGAAGACAGGTGAGAGGGACTATTATGAGAGCCATGCAGGTGTACCCCTCCTCCTGCTCAGTTTCCAACCTGTCTTCTTCCCCATGGCAACCATCCTCCTGTCCATCTGGAGATTATCTAGAGTCTGGCCATCGGCGCAGCCTGTGCCCACTGCCCAGAGCCTGCTGCCTCCCAGGCTCTTGGCTGTCAGTCCCTCAGCCTAAAGAAGCACCTGTGTGGCATGCAAGGGAATGTGGGGTTGCCTCACCTGTGTAGCCGATCTTCTCAAAGCTGAGCAGGCTGAAGATGCTGTTATAGAGTTGCATCTCCTTGCGGTGGCTCTGGTCCATCTCATCTAGGATCTCCATTAGCTCATTGCCTGTCTTGGTTGGGTGAGCACATGCAGCTTCATGCACTGTCAGCTCATGGAAAGGGCCATGCCAGGGGCAGCCGATGCGCTTGTATTTGCACTGTGTCACTCTGGGAGGAAGTGAGCATACTGGTCAACCCTGTGGCTGGAGCAAGTGGCCATGCCCAAGAGTACTACATAGGCTACTTCTTTTTTTTTTTTTTTTTTTTTTTTTTTGAGACAGGGTCTTCCTGTACCCCCAGCTGTCCTGGAACTCACTATGTAGACCAGGCTGGTCTCGAACTCACAAAGATCCGCTGCAGAGGCTACTTCTATGCAACTATAAACCCTTCCCTGTAGGATACATGGAGCTGTGAACCCAGGCACTCAAAGTACATGTGTGTGCACATGTATGTGAAAGAAAAGGGAGGGGAGGGACTCAGAGAACAGGAAGATGAGTAAGAGAGAGCTAGAGTTGTCAGCCATCATGCCTCCTGTACCAACTGATGTCTCTCCTCTGCTTAGTAGTGACTGTTGACCATGGTACTGGGTCCTATACAGTCTCATTCTAAGAAAGCCCTTTCCACCAGGGCCCTGCCAGCCAAGTGGCTGTGTCTACTTGCTGGGAGTGGGTTGCCAAGCAAAGGAGCCATATATAAGAGCTTCCTAGAGCTCCTGAGCTGACTATGCTGTCTTGGACCCCCTTAAGGACCTACCCACTATCCACAGAGAATCCCAGAGGGTCAGCATCATCTCTAGAGAACAACTAGTACAGACCCTAACTGTCTTCTGTGGGAAGGCATATTCTTTTTTTTTTTAAATTTATTATTTTTATTTTATGTGTATGAATGTATTGCCTGCATGTAGGTAAGTGAACCCATATCATGCAATGCCCACGGAGGTCAGAAGAGGCTGTTGGATACCCTGGGACTGGTGTTATGGACAGTTGTTAGCTGCCATGTGGGTGCTGGGATTCGAACCCAGGTCTTCTTCAAGAATAACCAGTGCTCTTAACTGCTGAGCCATCTCTCCAGCCCCCACCCCCACCCCCGGGCACATTCTTATAACCTGGGGGCTACAGGGGTATTACTGAGCTGCACATGAGGTCCCCAGAGCCCACAGAAGGACTGACCAGACTGCAAGGCCACACCTATACCATGGTGTGCTCCAGACATGTGGCTGACCCCTAGCCTCAGTGATTTACCTGTCCTGGCATTCTTCCTTCTGGTGCCTCTCTAGGAGGGAGCGAGGAAACTGGCGCAGGCAGAAGCCACACTCTGAAGGCAGCTCACTCACAGCTTTCTCCACAGCCAGGTTCCGGCAGCAGAGGCTCTTACTGATCTCACAACGACAGTTGGGACATGTGGCCTGCTCCTCCTTCAGCCGGGCATCTGCTAGTAGGTGGATAAAACAGCCAGCGCACATCAAGTGACCGTTAGTACACTGTGGAGAAGGAAAGGGAGGTGAAGCTCACAGACTTGTAGGATGCTTGCACACACACATGCCCACCCACATCTGCTGGTTCCAGCCAGGCCAGTTGTCCCGAGGGATTCTATTGAGGAGAGAAGTGCATGCTGATCCCCAAATCTTGCTGGTATCTAGCAAACACTGAGAGCTGCTTGGGAAGGTCATGCCAGGATACACCCAGTTCTGGCTCTGTGGAGAGCAGGGCTTCATCAGGTCATGGGGTTCCTGACTATACCTGAAGCAGGCCTGGCTGGAGACCCACTTGACCATATCTGGGCTTGGAACTTGGCTTTTCCATTTTTCCCGTCCTAGAAGACTGGCTCTTGGCTTGGCTTGGCAGGTACAATTAGCTAGCAGCTGATCAGTGGGGTCTTGGTTGCTGCTGAGGCAGGCATGTTCCCCTTCCCTTGGCTTTCAGAAAGGCTGCTCTTATGGGGACTAGGCGTGGCCCAGGCTGAGACCAACTGTGGCCCCTCCATGAAAGCTCTTGCTGGCACACAGGTGAGAGCCAGCAGTTGCCTACACCCAGAAAGGGTGACTACCAAAGTCAATGGCACAGTGTTACAGCAGGCAGGAGGCTGAGCTGGCCCAGGTTAGAGACAGGTGTGAAGAAGGCAGGTTGCTGATGGGACCCAATGCTGAGTTGGACTGATGTAAATGGGATGGGGGTTCTTGCTCATATGAACAGAGACTGCCAGAACTACTCTTATCCTGGATCTCTTACTGATCTAATACACATTAAGCATTACTTGGTGCCATTAAAAGATACAGGGTGTACTGAGAGCCCTACACCAGGGTGGACCTCTCACACTGTGAGGGACTCAGTATCAAAGGGGAGGCCCAGATATCAGGCCTGCCATGTTGAGGTTGCTCTGTACAGTGTGCATCAGAAAGGGGACACTCATATAGCCACTGCCTGGTCATGCCAGGAGGCTATGCCTGCACAGGTGGCATGCTTAGTAAACTCCAGTTGCCATCTTACTGCTTCAGCAGGCTCTCTAAGCCACAATTTATCCAATGAGTGATAGAATCTGCATGCTGAACAATCATGGTGACAGAGGCCTGCTGCAGACTCCATGCCACAAGAGTATCGGCATTCAAACCTAAGTTAGCTTAAAAATTAAAACATGCACTACAAGTGAGGAGAGTAGCTTGGCTAAGTTGGGCCTGGGTAAACAGGGCATGGCAGGAGCTAGCTAGAACCTAGACACATGAACTACCTAAGGTGAAATAGGAAAAAATCAGTCTGCAATATCCATCCCTAGCAGTCAGTGGGAGAGGGCTCAAGGTTGGGGATGGGTGCAGATGTGGCAGGCCCTGACCAAGGACCCAAGTCACAGGTCCTTTTATCCCCTATCTGCCTGTGGACTGCCTGGAACAATGACTACTATTCCTTCTGGAAGGCAGGAAGAGACGCAGTACAAAATTTTGAATGGTCATATGTTCTAGGTGATTCCCACCTAGCCACACAGCATCCTCCAAGAAGGAAGTCTACGCAGAACTTAGAGTGGTATAAGCATTCAGGAGGCAGAGGCAGGACTGTTCCAATACAAAGTGATTTCTAGGTCAGCCTGGGATACATGGCAAGACCCTGTCTTTAAAAAAATGTTCAGGGGGCTGGAGAGATGGCTCAGTGGTTAAGAGCACTGACTGCTCTTGCACAGGACCCGAGTTCAATTCCCACCACCCATATGGCAGCTAACAACCATCTGTAACTCCAGTTCTAGGGGAATCTGATGCTCTCCTTTGACTTTCATGGGCACTGCATGACACGATTGCACTTACACACATGCAGGCAATACACTAATACACACAAAATAAAAATAATATTTTTTAAAAAGTTCAGAGACTGGAGTCAGTGGTCAAGAACACTGGCTACTCTTGCAGTGGACCTGGGTTTGATTCCCAGCACCCACATGGCCACTAACAACGGACCATAACTCTACTTCCAGGGGATCCTACCACCTCTTTTACCTCTGTGGGCATTGCATGACATGGGTACACTCACACACATGCAGGCAATACACTCAGACAGATAAAATAAAAATATAATAAAATAGCCGGGTGTGGTGGTACACGCCTTTAATCCCAGCACTTGGAGGCAGAGGCAAGCAGATCTCTGTGAGTTCAAGGCCAGCCTGGTCTACATAGTGAGTTCTAGAACAGCTGGGGCTATACGGAGACCCTGTCTCAAAAAGACCAAAAACAAAAAAAGGGACACCCAGCAGGATACCAGAACCAAGACTCCCACCCCAGGACCTGGTTGGTATTCCCACACTACTCCATGTGAACAGTTTCAGGCATCTCCTGGTAAGAAGCTGCCTGTGCCTTAGATGAGGCTGTGGCCCCAGCTCTGCAGTCACTTCCAGGGTTCACCAGCCTGAGCAGTGGGGCAATAGTATTCCTCCTGGTTGTAGCCTCAGACTCTCAAAGTTTCCAAGCCAGGCTGGGGATACCTGTACCAAATCCTAGTCTAGCCAAACTTGGAAAGAAGTTCTGAGCCCTCCTACGGGGGAGCTAAAGCTCCTAATAATATTATTACTTCATCACTCCTGCACCGCACCCTGAAAGCCACATGAGTCTGGGCTGGGTCTGGCCACATGGTCTAGTCTCCTGGGGATCCCAGACCCCAACACAGACATAAGTCAATTCCACACCACAAGGAAGTGGTGCTAACTCTGTCTTCTTCTAAGTTCTTCTGGGTTTCTGGGGAGGGGGTATCTATCTATAAAGTATGGAAAAATGGGGTTACAGCTCTTTCAGCCCTGACAGCTCAGTTCTGAGTCTGAGCAAAACCAGTCCCAAGATGTTCTGTGGCATAATGGCCAAGCCATACATACTCATATGAGCCCTTCACCAGTAGTCATTCAAGGGATGCTATCTAGAAAAGCTCTAGGTAATACCCAACCCAGGTAATCTACCCACACAATGCACTGGTCTATAGCCCTCTCATCACTTCCTGAGCAAGACCTAACAACATATAGTTTCAGGGAAGCCATACTTAAGACTTAGGTGGACACTGTGCCTGTCTTGACTTGTGCCCACTGCCTAGTCAGAAGCTGGGCCACAGATGTCTTTATAATGCCAGCCTCAGTGCCCAGGTATCTTCAGAAAGTTCCTGCAACAGCTAGGCCAAAATGCCATCCCATCATTAGTCAGGAGGACCCTGGACTCACAACACAAGATGACATTGCAGGTCTTCCCAGGTCCTCCCAGGACAGAACCTGGCTTGGAGGTTCAGACGACAGCCTATCAGCCACAACAGCATGACCTTTGGCTTATCACCTTCCCTTCCATAGATCTCAGTTTCCTTCCAGGCTTAAGGTGAGAGTATGATGAAGTATGAGAGGCAATGTGGTGCAACAAGGCTTGACAGCAAGACCACAGCAGCCTCAGAATAAATGCCACCCCTGTAATCATCCATGTCAAAGCCTCTAGGGCTCCATCCCTAGGGACCGAGGTCCCAGGCTCCTCTGTAGATGCTGAGCACACACAAATGAACCAAAAACAGTCATTTGCTCTGGTACCCCCAGGACAGTACCCAGCCCTTCCTTCTACCAAGCTGCAGGCAGTTCACTTGCTCAACCTGTGCATGCCCAGGACAGGGGTCCATCTAGCTGAGTTCTCCCTTGGGTAAAGGGAACTGTATGGAATGGACATGCTCAAGGAGGGGCCCAGGCCCTTAGCTTATATAAGTAGGTCTTAGAAATGGGTCTCCCACAACTTCAAGTTGGTTACAACTTCCCTATGGTCAGTGCCTCTTTCAAACCTGGACCACATGGTCCTCTCAAACACTGGGAGACTACTCTTTCTACTGCAGTATAGATGGTACCCAGACTTATACGAACAGCCTATCCTCTTGCCCAGGGGATCAAGGACCCACAGACCCCTAACAGAGGCTATCAGTCCCAAAATGCAGCTGAGGAGTTCCCTGAAGCGTTAATGCCAAAGCGCTACTCAGTTACTTAGAGGTTCACTTTCTCTCTAGTGTCTTCCACGGTGTCTGGAACGTAGGCAAGACTTCATCAGGCCTAGAGGCACCTTGAGGCACATTCCACATGCCTGACCCAGCTTCTTGAACTTTCTTACTCAAGCACGGGCCTGAGCAGGACTGGTTCCTTGTACAAGAGCACCAACAAATAACAGGGGAAGCTGAGACATGAACTTTCTGCCCAGGCTGGATTTGAGGTTTGGGTTAGCTGTATTCAAACTCCCTTCACGTATCAGGCCTCAGGTACTGCCCAGCAATCCCCCAGAGTGTGGCTTTCACTCAGAAATGAACATTGCTTAGATCTAAAAGTAACTCAAAATAACAACTACCACCACAATAAACAATGTACTCCTCCAGAAGCCTCCAATCCTGAGTTTTGGACACCTAAAACAGACCTTTTCCAAGGCTCTTTCCTTCTTCAAGGAACCAATCAGTGGTGCCAGAGGATCCGAGGTCATGTGGGTGATATGACAGTCCCCTGGATACCAATTATTCTCAGAAAGGGTCTTGGGGGGCTGGAGAGATGGTTCAGTAGTGAAGAGCACTGGCTATTCTAGCAGAGGACCAAGGTTTGGTTCCCAGCACCCTCATGTTCAGCTAACAACTGACCATAACTCCAGTTCCAAGGGATCCAACACCCTCTTCTGGTCTCTGCTGGCACTGCACAACACAAGTGCACTTACATATTTGCAGGCAAAACACTTATACACAAAAATAAAAATAAATAAAAATCAAAAAGAAAAAGGGAAAAAAAGGAGGTCTTGGGCAGAGATGGAACATCTGCTTCCTGACCTTTTGTCAACCAGATATCAGTCTCCCAAGTTCAGACCTGGCAGAGGCAAAATTGGGACATACCAATTATTCCCTGTGGCTGAGTAGAGTGCTCCAGTCAGGAGGGGAGGGATGGGAATCCTTGCAGCAGGAAGAAGGCAACAATGTGGGGTGTTGCACAGTCAGGCCCATGAGGAAGCACAGAGGCAGGCAG